GTAGAGAGCCTTTCTTGCAGTGTACAAGAAAGAAAGTGCAACTTGGAGTATTTCAGGGCGGCAATGTAAGCATTGTGTGTAGTCTCGTAAATCGCCAAAGACAGTGTTCGTTTCAAAGAAAAGAACGAACCCTTTTGAATTTTGTGACCCGATTTGAAAAGGTAAGCCTAAAAGATAACGGTGGTGAAGCACATCCGCTGAACATTTGTCGATTGTTGTTTTGTGACAAAGCAACTTCACACGAAGCCAAAAGGAGCGTAAAGTACGAAGACTAGGCAAATCCGTGTACTACCCACAATTCCCATGCTCGCTGAAGTGCCATGCATTGCATGCAGCTCCCATAGCCACTAGCACCAGAGTTCCCTCTTGTCTATATATAGGAAACTCTATGGTTGCACCCATGTGGTGAAGGGTCACTACCGATGACAAAAATAGCCGTTGTATGTCGCCCTCATTTTAAAGCGGCATGGTTTCTGCATAGAAATAAAATTATAACAACATTGATTTTGGCATTGCTAATCTTGCACCATTTGTGCATTCCACAGTTCGAGAGGAAGCATAAAAAAAGCACGCTTAATTTGCTTTGCAGGGCCCCTTTACCGAATGCACTGCCCCTTGTTTTACATGCAGGCTCAACGGACTATGTCTGAATTTTTCTTCTATTTTGCAATGATGTTACTTTTTGTGGCTTGTGCCCATATCTCGGAATGCCAAGAACAAAGCATGTAAATGCATTACTTGCTGCAGCTTAGCATTGTTCAGCGGCTGTGCCATGTTGGTGATGTTTTCATTCTTTCAGCTGTGGCCAAGTATTCTGCGATATGAAGTTTTTATACATAACGTAACTAGCAAAGCAACTACGTGCATGGGTTTTAAAATCAATAACTTGACTTTTCTACCATTCTACATTCACTTTCCTCAACTGTTCGGCCATTATTAATTTTTTGGAATTATCGACAATTTTTTGGAATTATCGCCGCCGCAGCCGGGATTCGATTCCGCGACCTGGTGGTCATAAACCTAAAGCAGCGTGATAAGAAATGCAGTGTGGGCAGCTTCAGTGAGCACAAGTTTTATTGTTCAGAAGTGTGGCAAACAGCGCTAGAATAAAGAACATAATGCTGAAAAATTATATATATTGATTTGTTTCATCTGTTCATCCCTTTACATTGACATGACTAAAACGGCACACCGAGATATTTCAGAAATTAGCCACAGAATGCACAACAAGAAATGCACAGAATAAAGAAATACGGGTGGACTTTTAACCATATAAAATTAAGAACATTGTACATAGTAAGCATGCATAATTTTTTATAAGAAATGTAATAAACTCTGTGCAAGCAACGTTTCACGCAGCCAAGAAACACGACATTCTGGAATAGGGGGGATTATTTTTTTCAATCGACACCAAGATTGACACGCACATAGAGCAGCGGTCTTGTGGTAGTCACACTCGTGGCTTCCTAAATTTTCGAGTGTGTTCTTCCAACGCGTGAATGGAAAAAGGACCAAGGCACCAAAAACTTCGGGTCCCCTTGCCTGAACTTGCTTTTCTAAAAAGCGTACATGTCTTGCAGAAAGCTCCCTCCTGATATTTGGAATACACCAGCCAGGCAAACATTTCTAGTCAGAGAGGTTGGAACTTGAGTTATCACTTAAAAACTGAAGGAAAGGTGTATTTAGCGTCTAGTTTTTAAGGCGTCGTTAGTACACGTCGTCTAGTCTCGTCGTCCTGCTACTTCTTGCATATTGACACGTTAAACACGTAAAGACCAATGTCGTTGTCAGGAATCGCGGTTACCGTGCATGCACCATGCTCCGATTGGTTTTCAGGAGTTCTTTCGGCCCAGTAGTCGTATTCAGGCAGTGCAGAACTACGGCTGGGAACAGTTTCTTCAGCTGCTGTAGCCTTTTTGCCAGTTGTCAAGTGTGCACTGGGCAAGCGTCACCCTTCAAGAAATAATCATTAGGCATTACCTTGAGGCTTTCAGCGCAGCCATCGAGTCTCGTAGAAGGGCACTGATTGGCACAGAACACGAACTATCCACTAATACGTGTAGGTAGCGTATTTCAAGGGGGTGACTTCGCATCGCTAAGAAGCAACGCACTCATCAAAGTTCGGGCGATGACAATAAATGCGAGAAACGAGAACCCGGGCGATGATACTTGTCAGCTGGTAATGTTCCGCCTTAAAACTAGCGCTCGTTCTCCCCTGGCGGAAAGATTCATGGGTATACATTTCTGCTGCTTCCCTTCAGGTGCCAGTACTCCGTGCACGAAACATCTCATGTTTGTGCTTTGATTGCGCCCATACCGAAGGCTGGAAGGTTCTGTTGTTTTGTGATGCCGTTCCACAAACGTGAATGAACGTGAAGGTATTGATGCTAGGCAGTGAAGTTCGAGTGACTCGCATCAGAATGCCCGAAACAGACAACCGACAGGCACGGATGGTGCACAGTACAGTGTAAGTAAACCCATGCTTCATGCGCTGTGCACGTTATCGTCCAAGTTCACACGTTCTGAGAGATCTATTATGGTGCACTATGCTCTGAAGAAGACCGGAGTTTATTCCTTCATCATTAGTGAACCAATCACTCGAGATTTTGTGTGGTAGAGGCCAGCTCCTGTTTGCGCCAGTGTAAGTAATGCAAACATGAATGAACTATACTAAAGTTAGAACAGTGTATACATGACATATCTATGCTGCGCGGTAAAATATTCTGTATAGTTTTGAATAAATGACAGCTGCACGTTTGCAAACAACGGAAGATACTTTGCTGCAGCGCTATTATTTCAGGGGGCATAGCGGCCAAAGTTAGGAAAATAAGTAAAACAAAAACACTACACGTTTTTGCACGTATTTCAGTTTTTTAGCACATATACCTAGCAAACAAGCTATTTCTATGTGAGTAACTATAGCCTTGTGCCAGGTGCATTTTGTATTGAGACCAACTGACCATTTGTCAAGAATGATTACTTTATCTCTTGCAGATTGCACGATAAAGCCTCTACGGCTGGAGTACTTCATTGCTATCAAAAGCCACATTGCAACTGTAATGTAAACCAAGGTTACGAGAAAGGCTGCCTGAAAAATAACGCGTGGGAAATCTTGTTGCCAACGTGCAGCATGCCTTTCAAAAAAGTTAGTTATTGGGTATCGCAAGTGCTTGATGTGGACAGTAAAGTAAAAAATTTTGACTAAAAGCTATAACTTCGTCGGGGCTGCTTGACATATAGAGCTTAGTATAGAAATCATTCCTATAGGCATGCAGTCACAAACATCGACAGTAAGAAATTATTTGCTCAGCAATGTAAGCAAAACCCAAATTATTATGAAAGTAAAAAAACATGCTGCGTTTACCGCTCATTCCTCGTTGTAAGAGGAGCCGTCCTTCATTTGTAAAATGCACTTCGCCAGGACGAGGACTACGCCATCTACGCTTAACAGAGAACAATGATTAACGATCTTCTCCGATCGAGCGGGTCATCGAAATGAAGCGTTCTAGAAGACTAGTCCATTCATTGGTGCGAAGAAAGGCTGTTGCTTCAAACGGTCACCCTACCTGTCGTTTACACCCGCCGCAGTATTCTAGTGGCTAAGGAACTCGGCTGCTAACCTGCAGGTCGCGGGATCGAATCCCGGCTGCTGTGGCTGCATTTTCAATGGAGGCGTAAATGCTGCCAGCCCGTGTGCTCAGATTTGGGTCGCCTTAAGGACTCCAGGTGGTCGAAATTTTGAGAGCCCTCCACTACGGCGTCTCTCATAATAATATGGTGGTTTTGGGAAGTTAAATCCCCCTTATCAATGAATTCTCTGCCGTTTACTGTATTTTACTGCGAGTGCACTGATTGATATGTGGGGTTTAACGTCCCAAAACCACCTTATGATTATGAGAGACGCCGTAGTGGAGAGCTCCGAAAATTTTGACCACCTAGGTTTTTTTAACATGCATCCAATTCTGAGCACACATTTTTCAGCATTTTCGGCTCCATCGAAAATGCAGCAGCTGCAGCCGGTATTCGATCCCGCAACCTGTGGGTCAGCAGCCGAGTACCTTAACCACTAGACCACCACGGCGGGGCAGCGATTGCCTTATTTTTACTTATTCTCTTCACAAGTATATGCATGGGTAGAGGGGGGGATCTCATTATTGTGATATACATGTACACAATCTGCTCAAACTGCTGCCGATAATCACGTCACAGAGAAAAGCTGTGCCTGCCCCCCCCCCCCCCCCCCCCCCCCGGGTCGGTGAGAACCCTATCCCGAAAAAAATTTCTGGCTACGCTCCTGATGCACTACCCAGCAGCAACTTTCAATACTGCCCGGACTCTGTACCATGTGGTATTGGGCATGTAAAAACAACCCGAGTATCCCACACATGGATGAACACAGCATACCAATGGGCGTTTGCACTCTTTCTCTACAGATCGATAGAAAAGAGCTTACGACAACTTTATTGCTCTTATCAAGACCAAAAGAACCGGTTGCCCGTCTAGCCTGCCCAGACAAACAAAACTTTCCTTTCTGGACAAGGTGTCAGCTGTGATGTCGCCTTGCTGTCACTAGAGGCTCGCTACATTCTTTTCTGATTGTGGTGTTTCCCGGCGCTTTTCGCTTTGTGGTGCTATGTTAAGCACCTGGATCCTTCCTGGCCCGGGTGTTTCGGGTTGTGGGAACGCATCCCCTGTACACGTCTCATGGGCAGCATGTCACCAACACTGTGAGCCATAACACTGTTAACAGCATCCCTGGATGTTTTAGTGGGGCATCATGAGCATTTGTTGTTCTTTAGTGATGTGAATTTTGGCTTAGGCTGAGTCCTTTCTCGATTTGAGTGCGACGTTGCTTATACCAAGAGAGAAGTATTGATTTCAAATGTAGTATTCATGCTAAGGGGGGCTTTAAGTAAGGATGCAGCTGTTTCATTACAGAATTGGTATGAGGGGTGTTATCGAAAGTATACACTAGATTTTTCTTCTCTTTCTTGCTGCAGTGTGTACCAGCTCTTTGGCCCAGGGAGGGTTCTTCTTCAGAGATGGCAAATACTACTGCACTGGAGACTACCAGAAAATGTTTGGCACCAAGTGTGCCGGCTGTGGCCAGTTTGTTGAGGGAGAAGTGGTTACAGCTCTGGGAAACACTTATCACCAAAAATGCTTTGTCTGTGCCAGGTGTCGGTAAGTCTCCTTCTCAAAAGATTTTTCACAAAATGTAGTGGTTATAAGCCAGTGCAGTTAGCTCTTGAACTCTATCTCTTGTGTACATGTTGACTGCCCAGGTAAATCGACCAGCGAGTGGTTGTAGTGTCACGTGGTGTATAGTAAATATACGCAAAATATTGGTAAACGATTTTCACAGGTTTACGTGAAATATTCATATCACCCACTGTTCACATCAATACTTGCTTTAAAAACAAAGAATTTCACGCAGTGTGGGAATTACACTGCTCCCTCCCCTGATGGGGAGCCCTGCACTTGTCTACTATGAATGCAATAAAATGGTGCAGATACAGAGGTTCAATATATAATGTAGGTGCTGTTTTATGCACAAGGGTGTCTATGCAGGCTATTTGGTATTTCATTCCAATATTGGCGTACAAAATTGTAAGAAGTAGTAGTTGACAGGAAAGAGGCGCATTTGTAACTAAGCTTTTTTTTGTGTTCATTGCATGTTTAAAGCCGACGAACCATGTGATACCGATAGCAGGGCTGCATTGCAAAACAAGATAAAACCAAATAAAACCGTCTACCGCCCTAATCGTCAAGAATGTCACAAGAGGTCGACAGATGGTTTACTGATGCATCTGCTGCCCAACTTTTTGATTACATACGCCTCAAATATTTCCCGTTCCTGTTTCCTTCAATAACTTTTTAGTACTCGTGCCTTCTAAAGCTCAGGTGTGCAGTGGCCTGACATGCACTGCTTGCTGCAATGTAGAGCCAAGTTGCTTCCTGTGCCACTCTTTAAAGTGCTCTGGTGTTCCCTTAGGCGTTCGTTGAGAGTGGTAGGTGGTTTTATTCGGTTTTATCTTGTTTGACAATGTGGTAGATCTATGGGTATCATGTGGTCAACGGCTTTGAATGTGCAATCAATGCAAAATCAAGCTTAGTAGCGAGTGCGCCTTTTTCCTGTGAACTACTTTATACAATTTTGTATGTGGCGCTAAACCTGATATTGCTGTTTTATGCATTTGTATGAGCGGCAGCCAAAACATTAGACAGCAAATGATAGCAAGGTGAAGTGCGTTCAGCTTGCTTGGCTCACCACATTGGAGCATAACAAGGTTTTCAGCTGCGCACCATGCACTAGCCCTGTACAATATTTACTTGCACGGACTCTTTTTGAAAGAAGTCTGACAGGAAACCATGGCTTTAAATCTGGGCTCGTTGTTCGCTAGGCCGGCTAGTTTGCGGCTCCAAAGGGTATGTTTTCCAGCAATTATTGGTCCCAGTTTTGCCGCAAACACGGCGATTTGGTGGGCCTTTCTGATGCCATGAGGGGGGGGGTCACGCGTTTGTGAATAACTGAAATATGGAAAACAAGACTACCAGAATGGAACACAGTGCTGACAAACAGGCAATATGTCGCCTGCTCCTCGCTAAGTCAGTATGTTGTGATGCGACTATTCGCCCATTCTTTCTGTTAAATTAAAGATTTTAATATTTCCCATTGTGACAAAATTCACGATTTGTTTTGGCTGGAAAACATGATCGCTGAATTCAGCTTTCGAACTAAGCTTTTAAAGTAGGCGTTGCAGGTAAAAAGTCTGCTAGCAGAGATAGTGTGCAAAATGTTGGAGCAACCAACAATCGGAAGTTCGCATACATCGCAAATTCTGCCAAGCTGCCTTTTGTTAATTTCTTTATATTATCTGAAAGAATGGGTAAATCATGACTAGAGACAGAAATGTGTCTCATAATCAAATGGTGGTTTTCGGACGTTAAACCCCACAAATCAATCAACTCCACCAAAAGGGAGAGTTGGGCTAGTTGGTTGGTATTCATAGTGGAAGAATGCAGAGACGAATGACAAGGAAGGTCTGAACAACACGAGCACTGGCTGACAACTGATTGCTTCATTTAAGCGAAACGAAAAAGCAAAGGGAAGAAAGAAGAAAGAAACAAGCGTGCTCAGCTTATGCGCATGACAAAAGAGGACATATGTAAGATTATTTTTTTTCCAAATATGTCAGCTCACAATCCAGTAATGCAATCGACGGTGCGCTAACACACACGACACCATTTTCGCTGATGGCAAAGGCTTCCGCTATTTCTCTGATGCGCGAATAATTGTCCCTGAAAACAATGATCGTGCGGAAAAATCTGGGATGCACTCTCAGGTGGCAAAGTGGGTGGACAAATGGGAGAATGCGCACCCTTTAAAAAGGTATGGTGCTCACGCAGGCGTATGTTGAGGCAGTGTCCCATTTGTCCCACATAAAGTTTACCACATCACAGCGAAATGGAATAACATTATTTTTGCAAGTGACAAATGGCATGCGGTGCTTGACTGTGCACATACTGCTAGAAGACATACACTCGACGATAACTTATCAATTCTGGCACACAGTGTTTCGCGTTCATTTTTGCTTTTCTGTTCCACTTGAATAAAGCAATCAGTTGTCAGCCAGCGCTTGTTGTTCAGAATTTTTTTGTAATTCGTCTCTGCACTGTTCTACAATGAACCTATACTTCACTTCGTAAATAGCAGGAGGTGCTTCTGTGTAGCATTGACAGTCCTTTCAGCACTGTCAATGCTACAAGGCCCCTATTGCCAATAGAAAGGCCGATTAGCATCTACACATGTATTTATCTGCGTCGCGTTGTCTGCTGGGCATCTTCTCGGCGTCTGCTCGCATGCGTAAATAGCAGGAGGTGCTTCTGTGCAGCCCACAGGACAATGAAGAGCGTATGTGAAACCGTGGAATATCATCAGGCAAAGGTAGAGTATAGGTTAAAAAAAAAAGTCCATTTGGTTTTTGTTTTGTTTGTCAAATAAAAAGCAGCACTTTACTAGGTCATGTGAGAAATTTTATTTAGACACTGGAAGTTGTTACGTGCCCAATGAAATGCTTTGTACCACTAGAATTTTGAATTGGTTCATTACAAGCCACGAAAGCATGATGCGAGGAGGTGAGCTTGTAACCTTTGCCACTCACCCGGTGTAGATTTCGCAAGCCGAATTCCTTCCCTGCCCTCTTCGGTATCGGAGCGACTCGGAGCCGGAAGATCACATGACGCAGACGCATGAACACGTCATGCGCACACAAGGTTACACTTGCATGACATACCCAAGCCCCCTTTATCTAAAGTGGGGGTAGGACAGGCAAATGATCATATTATGCATGGCGAATAAAATTCTTGGGGTGGAGGGGGGGCGCATGAGTGTGGAGGGCCATTCTTTTTTTAAGTCTCTGCGCAGGACGATTTCTTGTTGTATGTTACCTCCATTATGCAGGGGCACGCGCCCGGGAGATGAAGGCCAAGCGGTATTCAGTCTAACATTGCACCTCCTTCCAGTGCGCGTAGAGTTGCAAATCTTGGCAGACAGGAACGTGATTGCCCAGTGGATGCATTTCTCTTGCCAGTCCGAAATGGCTCTCAAACCAGGTCAGAGTCCCTTTAAGATGTTCACAGACAGGACGAAAATTGACCCTGTGCGATTAGACCCAGTTAATGTGAGACTAAAGACCCTCTGGCCTATTAGCGGTCTAGCTATTTGCTCCTCCTGTGATGCCCTTCCGAGTCATGCCGAAAGGAGAGAGACCCAGAAGCGTCGATGGTGGCCAATTAACTCACCATGCTGGACAATAGAAGGAGAGACTGCAGTGGTGGGAAACCTGCATCAATTGCGCCAACCTAAACCAACTGGAAATTACTGCACCCTACGGCTCCAAACGGTTCTTTTTTGTCTAATTTGTGCCATTACTGCATCACAAGGTGGTTCTGAAATGAAGTAATATTGACAGCAAGCATCGTGAGCGGATGTTATGCAATGGTGGCCATCTTGTACATGTGTGCTGCAGCATTTGCATACAGTTGCGCTGTTGCAAAAGCACGAAATCGGATCAATTATTCAGACTTCAGCGCGATTGTGGTGGTGCTTTTTTTGATAACCATTGGCAAAGAACGGAGGTGATGGGATGACTACCGAAAGGCGTCCCAGTACGACTTATTGCGACAAAAAGCCTATGTGTGTGGTGTAGCGCTGCTTTAAGCTTACTGCACGCTTTTAATAGCCAGCGACTCTGAGAGTGCTGAGGCGTGCATCGCTTTGCAGAAACGAAAGCGGCTTATTGTTACGGAGCTGAGCGTTGTCGATCACGGGCACTGAGATAGCTAGCGTAACACAAAACTTAATTAGGCAGCAGCCAAAATGCACCGCTGTCAGCTGCGAGGGCCGCTAGAGCATCTCTAGCAGAAAGCGCGCATTGTCGCGCTAATGCGTCAGGCTTTTTGCCACATTTGTGCACGGTCTAAAGTGGAGTGGGCGCAAGCGGCTCGGCACGATGTGTAGGCCAAGTAGGTGAAGCGCTGTACGCCTTAAGCCGGCTCCCGGCGACCATACCACTTCTCAAATAAAAAAAATCGCAGCATATCTACGGAATGAATAGTGATGAGCAGGATGAAGCATCTGTCCGTTCATCCGCCTGTGTGTCCGTTCGTTTGTGCATGCATCCATGTGTCAGATCGGGTTCGAGAATGCATATGGCGCGTGGCAACATCGATGAGACGCGAGCCAAGGAAGCCGAGCGCAAGCATCTTCAACGCACCTGCCGCTCTGCTTCGTCCATGCCCCACCGTCGATCTGCCACATATGGCGACTATCTAGGAGACTGCACTGGTTCTGCGTGTACCCAGGCACAGTCTGCGCAGCAGCCAATCGGAGAGTAGCAGTACAGACGTGCAATGCACGAAGTTTCTGCTATAACAATTTTGGGATTGCCTGGTTTATTTTGGTCCTCCTAGATGGCGGTACCTATCCAGCCTGTCAGGGGCTCACACATTTATGACTTTGATGTGCTAGGCCATTCTAGCTTTGGTAATTCGTCTGAAACAATGTAATTGCTATTGACGCTCGCTTGCACTTTGGCTTATTTTGACTCCATGGCAGGAGTCTTCGCCATGTGGATATCGTGGGTTCTTATAAACGAAGGTGGATGTGTGAGATAGGGCCG